CCAAGTCACAGGTCGCAGCACATATCGGCTCGTACTCAGGCGACCTCTGCGTCGCCAAGTAGAGAGCGAGCGATGACGATCCAGCTCGAGACCCAACAACACCCGCGGTAGAGCGAAGCTTCGCAAGAACTTCATCAGCAAGCCCAGAGAGACCTGCTCCGCGCGCCGCCGACGGCAGCAGCCCCGTCTTCCACAGGCAACCTGCCGCGTGGCCCACCGCGCGCTTGAACGACATCAACCGACCTCGGCGAGCAGCCAAACCCTTCAACCTTAGCGCCGTCTGCGTTCGCGAAACCCTGCCGCCGTGGTGATCGCGACCTAGATCTCGTATCCAAGTACACGCCCTGAGACCACCCGCACCTGGATACCGCTTAGCAGCCCTGGCAACTTTCGCAGAGGAAGCGACAAACCCCGACTTCGACGGCTGCGCTACCAAACCCAACAGCGCGGAGCCAGCCTTGAATGCAGAAACCGCACTCCACAACGCCGCCATGCCCTGCAGCCTGCCGCCTGCCCACTGCAGCGAGGTGTCGTCAATCAATGAACGAAAAATAACACCTGGCCAGCGCATGCGATCCAACAGCCGCGCCAAGAGAACCCGCATCAGCCCACGCGCATACGAACACCCCGCCAAAATACCCACTGTGATCGCGAAGCCCCCTGATCCAAACAGCCCGACTGGCAAAGGAAGCGACAAACCCCTGCGACGGCTACGCCAAACCCAACAGCGCGGAGCCAGCCTTGAATGCAGAAACCGCACTCCACAACGCCGCCATGCCCTGCAGCCTGCCGCCTGCCCACTGCAGCGAGGTGTCGTCAATCAATGAACGAAAAATAACACCTGGCCAGCGCATGCGATCCAACAGCCGCGCCAAGAGAACCCGCATCAGCCCACGCGCATACGAACACCCCGCCAAAATACCCTGAAAGACTGTGATCGCGAAGCCCCCTGATCCAAATGCCTGCAGCCTGCGGGGAAGCACATAACACTGGCAAAGCATCCACAGCAAGCGTAAATCAAAGCCCACCTGCCGCGCCTCGTGGAAAAGGGCATCACGCAGCACGAGCGCGAAACACTTCCAGGCGTCCAGCAACGCCGTCACG